CGCTTCGCCCGTGCCGAGCAGACCTTCATGCGAAAAAGCGAGTCCGTCTACGTATATAGACGCAAGTCAGCTACATAAGCTTATGAATGCGAAAGAGCCGAGCACTCACCAAGGGAAGACATTCACAGTGCGCGCATCCAGGTTCAAATGCGCAGGAGATAGACCCAGAGTCGCCAGCTTAGATAGACGGCGTATCCAGGAGTGAGGTTCGGACCCAGACAGATAGATAGAGTAGACCGAAAGGGGGCATGCACCGTGCAAGACAGTAGAACACGAGAGCGAAAGCGAAAGCGAAAGCGTAGACTGAAGGACAAGTCGGCAACCGAACGAGCTCGGTTCGTCCAATAGCGGAGACCACCTCCGGACCTGGAAGCTCCTGGCGACTCCACGATACTCGCGCACGCAAAGCTAGGCTACCCGGGACGACCGGATGGCCGCCCAGGTAAGCAAGGCCTCTTGTGCGCTGTGGAGGCGTCGTGTTGGTGGTCAAGTGGAGGTTGTCATCCTCGAGCTTCGTGAGGATCACAACCCACGTGCTCGTGTTCAAGCGCGTTCATCACAACGAATACATTCGTCACATCGATCGCGTATCCCTTAGGGGCTCTGTTCGACAATGATTGTACTGTCCACTAGTTGCATATCATAGGCCTGTGTGGTGATGTATGTCGGCCTTCAGACTCGTTCAAGGAGTACGTAGCATTAGTTCTACCCGCTCCCCGTAGACTACGTTAGGCCCCAGTAGAGTACGGTAGCTCCTGACACAAAGTTCTGGTTTTGGACATCGAAGTGTGCAATGACCCAAAGGCGCCAATCCTAAGCCTCTGGAGATTCCAATGACAGGCCCTCGTCGGTGTGTAGTGCGAGAAAGCGCCCAGCAGATGCTCTCAGCTCAGAGAACTGCGCTCGCCACTTTGCGGCCTGCGAACGACGAAGCAGACTCTGTTTCAGTGCGTACGCTCGCGCGCCATCCTCCCAGCCTTTGTCAACCGCGTACGCATGTGCGTCGCCGAAATCCATCCTCTCCTCCGGGTTGCTTCTGATCTCCCAGATCTTTGCCATGCTCTCGCTGTGCTGTGTGACACGCCGCATCTCCTCATCGAGAAGGCAAATCTCCTGCACGTAATGCTGTGCACGAGCGCGGCTCTTGCACCATTCCACCATGAGCTCTATAGCGTGACGTTAGCCATGCATTCCAAGACTGCACCGCGTAGGGGATCTCACCGTCCGTGATCTTCATACCCAGTTCTTCTGAGCGATTGAACCATATCCAGGACAATTCGTACCGAGTCTCTCCGGAGCTATCGGCTTCACGCCTCCCTGCCAAGAACTCCCGGGCACTCTTCAAGGACATATTCTCGATCTGCTCGATGAGACGATCCCCCAATCCGCGACAGTCCTTGGTTTTCAACTTCCGTAACGACTTTTCCCAATCGCCCTTCCCGAGTAAAGCGAAGTAAGCCCTTCGATGCCTCCTATACGAATCCGCCGCAACGTTGATTTCCGCTTGCAAGGAATCCTGTGCTTCGCGGGCACGAGTATTATTGTGCTGTCCGGTCACATTGGCGATCTTAACACGGTTCAGACAACCTTTGAGGCGCAAATGATGTCGCAGTCGTTCCAGCTCTAGGAGCATGGATATCCGTCGTAAGTTCGCCTCTATCGCACGCGCAGCGTCTGAACCTGAAGGGTTGTCGTTGTCGGGGGGACTCGAGGGAAGGTAGAGCGGCACTGTGAGAGCCTCATGGGGCTCTGGATCGCGCTCATTCGGGGTAAGCAAAGCATAGACCCTGGGCGTTAAGTCTTTTTGCTCATCCCGAAATCTCAAGATCTCGTGCACGTGTTGCTTCATTGCATATGTTCTGGCCGTGACCTGCGCAGTCGTACCATCGCTGGTAGGATACCTGGAGGAGAAGCGCGATCTGTCCACCGAATTAAGCGACATATGCCGATGATTAACCGATAAAACCGATACCTATCGTCTTCTATCTTCAGTCCTCGTCGGATATGATCCACCAATGCAGCGCCTTCTTGTGCGTCCAGCCGTAGAGATGGGTCTGAAGCCAAACTTTGGACCTGCGCCGTTTGCAGCTCGATTTCCAGTGCTGACAGTGCTGTTGGATGGAAGTGAGGCGTAAGGACGGCGGTCTTCTTCATGGAACGTGTACCTCACCTGTATCTTCGATGTAGTATGGGCATGCCGTTCCCATTTTCTTCACCGGATCTTGATCCCAAGTCCGCAAGGCGACCCGTGCTTCATGGACTCTCTTGGGCTCCTCCGCCTCGATGGCCTCAGTGAATTCGGTAAAGATACGGGTCTGCACGAGAGCATCGCGCAAACAGCGTTCCATGCGATCACAAAGGAGATCGGCTATATGGCAGTCGTTAGACATGCACGTGCAGAACACCGTGCTCCTCACTCACCTATTCCACATAGCTTCCTCCAGTTCCAAGCGGAGCACATGTCATCCATCGTGTCGCTCATGCCTCCCGACCCCATCTCACGTAGACTCGATGCTGCGGGATTTGCACCGGACCATGCGCGCTCGCACGCTTCTCCGTCCGTCAAGCCAGTGCCAAACAGCCAGCCGAAGGCATACCGCAGCTGACAAAAAAGTTTGTGAGCGTAAAGGTGAAACTTCGGGACGACGTAAGTGATCGTCCCATTGACGTGGTGCTTGAAGAACTCCGTGACGCCTGGCGATACTTTACAACCAGGCGCCATATCGCGAAGTCTCTCATGAAGCCGTTTGCTCCATTGACAGGCGATGTCGTAGGAGACAGTGATCTCCACGCAGCGCAAAAACGATAGCGCTCCGCAGAAGACCCAATCCATAGTCATGTAACTAGTCCAGCGTCAGCTGGCGACTGGATGACATTGCCGCGAGAGACGCACCGTTCACCCTTTCTGAGCACGGCCAGACCAAGAGGCTGCACGAACTCATGGCGTGCACAGAAGCATCCCGCAACTCCAGTCGATCGCATCCCCTTCCCTCCCTTCGTGTTAGCCAAGGCTAATGCTCCGAACTGAGAGCAATCACTGGGCTGGGTAGCGTTAATAAGCAAGCAAGACCGAATTCATAGTGCTCACTTCCTCGATTATGCCGGCCTTCTTTTCCATCATGTCGAGGTAGTCGTTGTACTCCTTTCTGGGGGGCATGTAAGCGCAACCTTCGCTGAGGTTAGGGTCGTGATGTTCGTCGTGGACTTTGGACCGGGTTAGCTTATTGTTGAGGCGAAAGTTGGCGTCTAAGGAAAGTATGACTCTATAGAGCCACCTGTGCGATGTTCAACGGCAAGTGTAGCTGCGAATAATCTAAACAGGGCACAGCCTTTATTACGTACTGAAACGGCTTCGTGGCCCAGCCGAACGGCACATTCATGTCCAGATCCGGACATGCAGGGCAGCGAACCGCGCATGCGCCTAGCGGAGTGGCCGCAATTCCGCCCGGTTCGTGACCACGCCCACTGCGTTTGAACATGAAGACGTGGCGAAATTGTCGCACGCAGTTATAGAGTTGTTGCCGAACATTCTACGCCACAGGACATCAGCGCGCAAAGCGGTGTAAGATCTGGAAGCGCGTACTTCGATAGTACGGAGGCCGGCGTTGTCTGTCGAGCTCTCCAGCGCTCTGTAGTAATCATATACATTCAGCCGTCCGAGTAGCGAGAGACGTGTGAACTGATCGAGAGCCTCGACGGTTGTAGCGGTCTGCGGTTTCAGGCATGTTGCCGGCCACAGCCTTGACCTCATAAGTTGTATGTGAAATGGCACGTCCTGGCCCCGGCTGCAGCCGCACGAGTCCATGGGAATATGATGGATACCATTCGTATGAATGATGGTGAACTTCTCGACCTGATGAACTGCACGAAAGCTGCAGGTTTCTCCCGGCGGATGCATGAGCTGAATGCGAATGCCCAGATCGGACGCTGCTATCCGCTCATAATAGTCCCCATTGTATCGCTGTAGGTCATTGAGATCATTCTCAGATCGATGTGTACGCGTGCATTGCTCACCTCTATCTGATGGAATGGGTTGTACCGGTGCCAATGCCGCACGCAGGTCCTGCAGAGATTCATGCCTAGGCACTCTGCGCAGCGATATTCAGGAAAGCCTGTCTCATTGCAGCTAGGGCAGTGTTCCAGGCCCAACGCATCAGCCCGGCCATCCAGCCGGATAACCTCGTTCAGAAAGACATCGCGCCAAGATAGAGCCCATCTCTTAAGGGGGAAGTCCTATACGTTCGTGAGAGACGTCAAGATATTATCTGAGAAACTCTACTCACTGAAAGCAGGTCTCGGACGCGCTCCGTTGTCGTCCGAATTATAGACGGCCGCTCATGAGTGACTGGTGGCGCTGCGATGGGAGGGCACCCTTCACCGTCAATAGAGAGGGCGTCGTCATTAGGGAAGGGCTCTGTGTCGAAATGATTAGCAGCTCGCTTGAGAGGAGTGTAGTCCCACCTTCTCGCCCCTCAGTTCGGAGAACGGTGTCGCCAGAAGAGCGCTCGAAGGCATGGGCCAAACGTTTCTCTCCCAGTCTACCAACAACGCCCAGCGTCGACTTCCCGAGTGTCACATTGTGTGCGTATCCAATGGTGGGCCTGCTCGCAGCTGAGCCGAAGGAACATGGGTGACGAGCGGCCGTGCGGTTGAGAAACGTGAGTGAGGTCTTTGCCAATCCAGCTGGCGCGGAAGTCCTCGTGAAAGTCGAGGCTCCCGACGAGCCAATGCTCAGTTTAAGCCTTTTAGAGGGCGAAAGCTGGACGTGGGCATCTTCGAAACGTGATTCTTTGCCATCTATGGTGCGCTTCATGCAGGAGGACGAAGGATCAGGGTTAACGTTGCTGTACTTCAACCTAGGCAAGATCTATAACTCACGTCGGAGCGTCGTACGCACCCCGAGCGCCCGTATGAAACGTATCATCATGAACAATCTGAAACGCGATCTCGCGCTCGAAGAATCAGCCAAGTAGCCATTGAAGCACTCTGGATCATGCATGCATTCAAGCATCCGACGAACTAACCGCACCCATTTTCCCTACCATAACTCCAGCCGCATCAACCTTCCACCTCAGAGCCGCCCAGTTGGGAAAGAAGCCAGCGTCACTCTCTACAAGGCGGGGAAAGGAATGAGCCACGTCCCGCAAGTAGACGCTTTCCAACGCCAGTTCCTCACGAAGGGACACATAGAGTTAGATGGCTCTTTATTCATGAGTCACAGCGAGAGTAAAGTACAGGAGCAAGATGTCACGGAGATGATGAGTGTGAGGAGTATCGAGCATGATGCGTAGTAGCCCAGAATTGAAGGAAGACGACAGAACAGAATATGTGATAAGCAAGTTTGACCTATAAGACGGTGTGAGAGAAGTGAGCGGAGAGGCAATACATAGATATCGTACCTCCAGTCCTCATACTCGTCCGAGCGCGTTGGCCAACGACCGGTTGAGCCGATTTTGGGTGCGGGCGCTAGAGCGCGGGGGGCCGGCCCGGATAAGGTAGGTGGGTATGGAACCCGCCGCATTGTACCCAGTGCAGAGCACAAGGGCTGCGGACGGGTGGGACGTGGAGGTCGGTGGTGGAGGGCGGCGGCGGCGGCGGCGAGGCGAGCCATGGTGGTGGTGGTGGTGAGAGAGAAGACGCGACTTGAAGTCTGGATGCTTGGCGCGCGCCACAAGTCGCGTCTTCTC